CCAAAGCAGGACTATAGGGTCAGCAGGTTCAGCCTGTTGGTCATCCACACACCAGGTGCCGTAAATACCACATCATGTGATCATTGAATGATATACAACTGTGTGTGGTTCAAACAAATAAGTAGAACACCATGAATAATAAGCAACGGCTCAAATCTGTGGATCAAAATGTAATAATAATGCATCATCAATATTATTTACTGAATGTATTTTCAAAATGTGTAGAAATAATTCCTCTGATTAACCCCTGGAGCGACCAGTGTGAATATGTAACATTCATGAGAATAAAGGTTAGACAAAAGGACTTCTGTTCACACACATATACAAGTTTACATCTGTATCTTTATTGTTATCATGTTAACAGAACAGGTGAACACGTAACATCTCAGTTTAAGGACAAGTTGTGCGAGATGCACAAACTGAGGGAAGAGTATCTGAACACTTCAAATCATTCCACCAGTACCCTTGAAAGTTGGTGAGTACACAGTCTTCATCTCGTCTGTTGTTTGGTTCTCCTTCATACCAAAAGAAACACTTGGCTGCACACCCATCTTCCTTCTTTGTGGACGTCACTGAGTCCGATCCAGGGGCCTGTACTACGAAGCTGGTTCAACCTGACCTGGATATGTTTGAGTTAGCCGGTTGGCCTAATCCAAAACATACGCGCTGTCGCTAAACTGTACTACGACGCGGGTTATCAAGTGGATAACTCAAGCCAGCCGTGTCCTATCTAGTTAGGTGCGCGTTCACATGAAAGGGGTGGTATCTGGAGCATTCGACCAATCACAAACATGGAGAAGCGTACTGACAGCGCAGCGTCATACTTCCTGAATGAAAAGTGAACTTTAATACTAGTCAAATATGAAGAAGTTAAACTTTAAACATCCATGACTTAAACACTTGATCCAGGATCAAAGCCACAGAGCTGCACCTGCAAGGTGAATACACAGCTGGTAAATGTTTGAATGCATACATTAACAGCTTTATGATATCACTGCCCCGTCTAAAACACGATCTAACTTTAATTACATTTGACTCAAGTGTTTCCTCAACTTAATGTGTTGCTTAAAATAATACTTCTGCATACAGTCTGTGACACTGTGAGTGTTGCACGGCCAGATACGGCTCAGCTGACTCAGATAAGAAAATATATGATACATTATGATGTGATATGATGTGATATGAATGATAATGGGACACATCGACGTCTGCACTCAGTGTACTTATGTTGTGGCAGATATTTAAGTAAGCTTTCTTAACGCTAATGTTATAATATTCAGATTGCTCTGAAGATGGAGGTGATATTCTATTCATGTTCACGTTCACACAGTCTGTGATTTTTGCCGGCCGTCTTTCCTGCAATGGCAGTTTTTCTGTATTTCCTTTCTCCTGTAATATGACTTGATCGCTTTAAACTCCGCCCACTGAGCTCTGATTGGTCAGCAGGCAGTGCTTTCACTGAGTTGAGCTCTTAGCCTGCAACCTAACCTGGTCCCGACCAGGTTAGCCGCTAAGCACAAGTTACCATGGAGATCTTGCCTGCTAAAAAGAAAACCAGCTTCGTAGGACCGGAAAGCCGGAGTTTTCCCTGAATTTAGCCGCTAAGAGAAAATCCTGCTTCGTAGTATACCCCCCAGGTCCATCGCCGCTGAGCATGGTCAAAGTTTTTGATCAGTGTTTTGACAAAGTCCTCTTCCTCTGTGCTGTGGATAGACACCAGGGGGGTATACTACGAAGCAGGATTTTCGCTTAGCGGCTAAATTCAGGGAAAACTCCGCCTTTCCGGTCCTACGAAGCTGGTTCTCTTTTTGCGGGCTTCACGTAACGCCCATCATAAACAGTCAAAGAAACGCCCCGTATTAATATTCATTCTGACTGACTGCAGGAAGAAGATCGCAGGAAATGACGACAGAACGGCTAAAAAAGACATTTCACACCGAGTCAGATTTTGGTTATTTTGGGGAGGTGGAGACAAATGACATTGTTTGGTGGATGCAGTTTGAACCAGAGTAGCAGCATGGAGGTCGGATCGTCACCAAAATAAACAAGTGGTCCGAAAAGTTAAGTTAATGACAAACAAAATACACATAACCTTCCTCAGGCAGTGTGTCAGTGTGTTTTCGCCAGGGACAGGAGTGTTTGTGTGCACTGAGGAGTCTCAAACAGGCGTTTGTCTCATCATTTTAAGATTGGCTTTAATCAAATTTTGCAAAGTAATTCTTCATATATGATAAATGAGAGGTAACATTCTATTTATGGTTTTATTCACTGTTCGAAATGGGGGGGGGGGCAGGGGGAGCTTGGCTCCTCCGAAGAGGGAGGGAGCTCCCTTGAAGGCCGACTTTGAGATAAATAGGGGGAGCCCAAAAGAATCGTGCATATTTGTGTCACACAGATTAGAAATGTTGAGTTTCTGTAAATAAAAGTTCTTGAAATAAATAATAGTCATTGTTCATTACAGTTTCTGAATATTTTTTTTGTATTTGTGAATATTTCTTGGTGTTGCCATCTGTACGTGGCGGCGCTGCATTCTTTACGCTACAAGGCAATACAGGCGCGGTTGCCTATTTGATATTTTCATACTGATATATTTTTTTAACTCGGCTTTGTAATAACAAATATGGCGAAACGAAAACAGCCAAGCCCCGCAGCTTTTGGATTCACAAGCGAAGGAGTCTACAAATTACAACGTGAACGGAATAACTTTTAGTTGTCCGGCTGCTGTAAGCGGTGTTAGGGTCGCGTTTGACAGCTCCACGCCGAGGGAGAGGCCTACCGATGCGGAGCGTGAAGAGGCTTCAACAACGGCGCCACCTGCGCTAGCGAACCTTTCCTGACGATGCCCATGACCTGCCTTTTTAAATGGACACAGAAAATATGGAGTGAGTGGAATGAAAGGTATCCATGGCTTTTCAAAAAAAATTAAAAATGTGGTTGTGAGATTTGCAAAGAGGCAAAAAGTATATTGATCTCCCTGCCGCTCGCAAAAAAATTCACCTGAGTGCACCTTTCACAAGAATGGATTCAGGGAAAAGTCAGCAGTGATCAACAGAATAACCTGCGGAAAAAGAGTTATAAACAATAAGAGCCAGGCACACGAAAAAGCGATCGAGATTTCGGAGATGAGAAAAAAGATGTCCTACCAAACGAGGTATACCTTATTGGCAATCAATATTGATCTAATACAGGAAACATATACATCTTTCAGGTCTGCCTATATGATTGCCAACAAAATAAATAAATAGGGCTCCCCCGAAAGCAACTGGGTAATTCGAACACTGGTTTTATTTCCACATATTTCTCTCCATTCAGTTTCTCGTCTCTCCCGTTGTTGTGCGTATAGTGCGTACGGATGGGTTAGAGTGTGCGTGGAGGACCGCACATTTCCCCGTCAAGTTCGTTTTTTATAAATCGCAAACAGTGCTTAGAAACTGGCGTACGCCATCTTTTGAGTACGTAGCGTTTATAAATGAGGCCCCAGGTCTGTTACAAGCTATGTGTTTTTAATATGGTGCTTTACTCAAAGTTGTAATAGTTTTGAAGCAACTTGTACGTGTTTTGCAGAGTGTAGAAGTGCTCATAACCAGCCGAGCCTAACCAGATTGCTAAACATTGCCAGACCAAAACAAATGTTCTTTAGAATCTCCAGAAGATGTTGGTCGGGAGGGATGATGGTCTGTTTTTAAAACGCTTTCTAGCACGTGAAGACCAAGCTGCCCATCACACTAAAGCTTTGTAAACATTTCATTGAGACACCACATTACCACAAATAATTCCCAGCTTGTGCAAAATGAAGATTAACATTAGGCAAAACAGACCATAAGCTTGTGTGGATATATCGTATCAAACATCATGTATTCATTTCAGGGAGACTTATTGCTTTGTGTTTCTTTTCATTCTCAACTCATCGTCGCTCTGACTTGCTCCTCTGCTGCCCTCCAGTGGCCACAAGGCACAACAGGTACTTTGACATTACAACATGTAGCTCCAAAGCACACAAGTATTTCCTTCTGAAAACGCACTTTACTAAAGCTCTAAATATGGCACATGAACACAAATATAAACTATATACAATACAATCAGGAAGATAGCAATACGAATGCTCTAATAACAGTGAGTTAATTTGTTTAATCTGCAATTACGTTTAGATGTCCTTTAGGAATGAATGTGGTGGGGGGGGGGGGGGGGTTCTAATTTAATGTTCTTCTGTTAGTATATTCTTAAAATAAAAACGCGTTATTTCTCTGATGTGCTGCCTATAGTGTTTGTTCTACTGTGCTTTATAGCCTGGCATTGACTTCAGTTATCCGGTGCTTGTGATCAGTTGTGCAAAACATTTAGCTCTATTCCCATGTCTGTTGCATATCATTAGTGGATGAATGTGTTCTGTTGATAGGTTATAGACTTTCTACTGTTCAACAGTTTTTCACTTGAATTGGATAGTCCTAACACATGCCTACTAAAAGTATGCTGATAGTCAACTAATGCCTTATGTAACTGTAAGGTAGCAGCCTTGACAAGCCACTAGGTATTGCTGTTGCGCAGCAAATTGTTTTTTGTCCATTGTGGGACACCATATTTCTCCTGTTGTTCTGGGTGCGGCCGCCATCTTGGCGCTCATGTTTGTATTCACTCCACGAAAGGTGAGCAGTGTGAATGGCGGCAAATAATTGTACACATTACGTTAAAAACGTCCAAACATTCCATTTATTTAATTAATGGGTGTGTCAGAAGAGCTGCCATTGCGAAGAATAAATCACTACTCAGCGTCTCCACCGCAATCCGATCTACTGTGTCCTGTTTTCCGCCCCTCTGCATAACATCCCATCACCAATAATAAACACAACGCAGAGTCCCAGGGTGTTCAGAGACGCTACGGGACATTTGGGTTACATAACCTTTAGTTGACATCTTGACTCAAGAGATAGTCGACACGACCCTGTTGACTTGACCAAAAAACAGTAGTTTGAATGTTATCTATCTACGATGGAAAAATTAGGGAAATTAAGATGAGTTTTATTTATTTATTTGACTTTTATTACTTTATTGACCACAAAAGTTTTCCTTTGACATATGTTCATTCTTAAATCTAAGATGTGTAATACAAAATAAAAAGCAGGTTTATTTTTAGATGCTTAAAAAAATGTACATTTAAGTAAATAATTTACAAGATATTTAGAGCATCAGTTCAAGTAGAAGTCATGTTGTCATACTCTCCAGATGTCCTTTGTATTCAGTAAAGTTAGACGTTATTTATCGTTTGGCATTTTGACGGTTTCTGAGTTCATAAATCCAAGAGAATCCTTGCTCACCAACACGGCAGCCACATCGTTTCTCCTCCAACTCTCATGTGAATCTTTGAACTTTCACTTCGTCTAAAAGATTCCCCACAATCGGAGCAGCTTAATGGTTTCTCTCCGGTGTGAACATCCATTGACAGGTCACTTTTTATGAAATCTTTTACTGCACAGTGAGCAGCTGTAGGCTTTCTTTCCATGCACCGTTATGTGAATATGTAAATGTTCACTTCGCCGAAAAGATTTCTCACAAAACAAGCAGCTGAAGGGTTTCTCTCCGCTGTGAACTAGCATGTGTCTCGTCACGTGACTCCTGCGGATAAACCTTTTACTGCACAGTGCGCAGCTGAAGGGTTTCTCTCCTGTGTGAATTAGCATGTGTCGATTCAGAGCACTCTTCTTGCTTAATGTTTTCCCGCACTGAGAGCATTTACAGCGTTTATTTGCAGAACTACGCCTTGAATCACTGACGGGGACTCGAGAGTTTGAACCTGACGGAGGGTCTCTGGTCTCCTTCCAACCGGCACTGTCTTCAGTGTCAGGTTCTGAAGAGTCTCCAGGGTTGTCCTCAGTCTCTGGTTGTAAACGTGTCTCTGGATCGGAGTTCTTGTCTGGTTCTGGTCCTCCACAGTCCTCTCCATCAGCTTCTGTTGGTCTCTGATGAAGCTGAGAGGACTGAGGTCTCTCTTCATCATCTTCACTCTTCACAGGGACAGGAGTGAATGTTGACTTGCTGTTATCATCCTCCTCCAGCCCTTGAAGCTTCTCTCCCTCCTGACTGATCCAGAGTTCCTCCTGTTCCTCTTTAATGTGTGGGGGGGTCTCAGGGGGAAACTCTTCTTCAACTTCCACCAGTTGGACGTCTGCAGGAAACAGGAAACAGAGACGTTACTGAGAATAGTTGTTGTGTTCATTACAGCTCAAAATCCCCTTCTTTGTAAAGCTCCGTTATCAGTTTTCCTGTCGGTATAAATAAAATAAAAAAGTATATAAAGTAAATGTAATTGCGCCCTCTTACTCTCGACGTGCACCCTCAAACCAAAATGCAGATTTCCCCCGTAAAATGTTAAAGTGATTCCAGAAAACAATATTTCTGTTCGTCAGAAACTATAATTCCTCCAGAAATCTGAGCATGAAACAGAGCGTCAGACGGCAGAGACAGCTTTGTTTTTACGGAGCTCCGACGTCACGTTGTTGTTTACGTCAGGAGATATCTTGTTTACGGGCGACATGTTCTATTTCGTATATGGCTTCGCCCTCTAAGGCTATCGCTATTGGGTAATCCCCCTGCGCCCACGCGCAGCACTGAAAACGTGTAGTCCACGCCCACCCGCAAGGTGGGCCCCACCCTCTGGCTTCCTTCCGGTATAAATAGGAAGGAGGCCCGGCAATCTGCTCCCTCTTTTCTCCAGCACGCACAGCAATTGAGAATCATCATTAGCAACAACTGCGTCCGCGATTGTCCCTCATGTGGCTCTGGGTTCATAATGAGTTATGACCAGCAGAGATAAAAGCAGTATGCGAATCCTGCCTTGGGTCAGAGCACGCGTACGCGGCTCTAAACCAGCAGGTAGCATGCACACACTGCGCCTGTCTCCCCTCGGGCAACAGGAAGCGGAGAGCGGACGCTCTTGCTGCTGCGGCCGAGGAGGACGATTGGCCCGTCAGGCTTACGAGCCGCGGACGGGGCCTTGTGTCCCTGGGGCCGAGTGCCGGGCAGGAGTCCGAAAAAAAAGCAACTCCTGCCCCGCCTCCCTCCACGGTTCACCGTGCGGTTCTCCCCTCCCTCCTCTCCCCCGGACGGGGGAGACAGAGTCGGAGCAGGGTGCCAGCTTGGCGGCCAAACATGCTTTCCCCCTCTCCGTCACCACAGCGTGGCGGCGAATAACATCGCGCTGCTCTCCAACTCGGTGGTGACACTGGTAGAGCGGTCCACCACAGAGGCAGAGGAAATAAGCAAGGCGGCCAGCACGGCGCTCATTCTGTGCGTGTCCGTCGCTGTCTCCCAGGCGAGGATTTCCGCGTGGGTGACACAGATCCAGCGCCACCTCGGGCTGAAGTAGGCGTCTGTTACGGAGACGGCCAGAAAAGTGCTACTGGACGCTCCAATCAGCCCGGACGGGCTGTTCGGACCCCAGTTCCACGCCATGGTGGAGTCCATGAAAACGGCCGCGGAACAGGCGGACGGCATTCGCTACCATGTACAGCTGGCTCCAGCCTGCTGAGCGCCCACAGTGGCACCAACGCTCGCTGCGGCGTCCACGCCGGCCACAGGAGGCCGCAAGCGGCGAGACGCCCACAGCAACCGCCTCGGCATTAGACTCGCCCTTCGGCGGCTGCAGGGGCTCCGTCCCACGTCTCCGCTCTCCCACCACCCCAGAGACAGGGTCTCCCGCCGACGAGTCAAAGGGGAGTGAGGCTCCCCCGCTCCTGGTCTGCTCCGCGAGAGCCTCCGAGGAAGCAGAGCCGGTAATTATGCCAGCTGCCACTAATCTGTTGATTAAGTAGACGGCAGGGCTCGCTGCAGAAGCCTGCTGGTTTTAACCTATCGGTTAATAACCTGCAGAGCTCGCGGCATTCCTCTGTCTGAGATACGCCTCCTACACACGGTCATAATAACCCATGAGCGCCGTTATAACGCCTCATGTGGACAGCACTGCACACACCATCCATCCCCTGAGCGTGTACACGCCTCATGATGAGATTCGGAGTGAGACGCAGCGTGTGGAGGCCCCCGCGCAGCCCTTTCGGTCCAAGCACACCTTGGGTTGCCTCACGGGCAGCGCAGGAATGCATACTTCCATGTACCCATCATCCCGAAACACAGGAAATAGCGTTCGGATATTTCCTGGCTCCTCCCATTTTTTGTGTATAGAAGGCTGGAGCCACTACACAGAGGAGGGATGAGAGTGTGGTTTCCTCTGGACGACCTGCTATTTGCTGGCTTGCTACAGGGAGGAAGTCGCTTTACAGACGTTACATTCGTATCGCATCTGTCAAAGCCTGGGTTTCATAATAAATTGGAAGAAGAGCTGTCCTCTTCCCTCTCAGACAAACGTTTATCTGGGAGTGGAATTAAACTCAGCCAGCAGAGCGTGGCTCTCGCGGCAGCGAGTGGAGAAACTGACAGCTCTCCTCTGGCGTGTCACACCCACACAGCCCTCTCCGTGACGAAGCTGCTCCGCGTTGGCGTCAACTTGTCACGTGATGATCCCCTTGGGTCTCTTCCAACAGGGGGACACTCCAGAGGTGGTTCATTCGCTGCAGAAGCCTGCTGTTTTAACCTATTGGTTTATAAACTGCAGAGTAGGGCTGAACGATATACTGTGTCATGGCGATAACCGCGGTATGCGCATGCGCGGTATTCACACCGCAGGGACGTGCGGTTTTATTCATTTAAAAAAATAAATGCTAACGCACTTTAGCACAGAATTCAAAATAAAGATACCCTTATTACTTATCGAAACTGCACATACAATATATCCGATTAAAGCTGAGACTCCACAGATTATTTAAGTATAGTATCTAAGCGATCCGATCTCGCAACAGGGGAAGCAAACACAGACATCACAACACATACCTTTTACGGAGCTTTTACGGGAGATCGTCTCACCGTAGCTGTCAATCTGATCAAAAGACGTGTTCAATGGCATTAAAACGAGAAAGAAAAAACGCGGCTGAATCGGTTGATCCATAGGTTGATAATGTATCTGTGGCTTTGAAGCAATTGTTTATAATCCATAATTCCATTTTTATGTAAAAATCGGAGCACAACAGTTAGCTGCTAATGGTAGCCACCAGAGTGTATGCAGCTTCCGGTTTTGGCTACGCGTCACTCTCACTCCTTATTTGGTAATGTGTGTGTGTTAGACTGCGCTGGACTGCCGCATATCCAAGACCGGAAGCAGCAGCCACTCTGGTGTCTACCATTAGCAGCTAACTTTTGCTCTGCGATATTTACATAAAAATGAATAAATTAAATAATTTTTTTATACAGAGACGTTAAAAACCTATGGATTAACCGATTCAGCCGCGTTTTTTCTTTCTCGTTTTAATTTTAAAGGTACGTGTTGTGATGTCTGTGTTTGCTTCCCCTGTCCGAGTTCAGATCACTCAGTGATTATACTATATACCTATATAATCTGTGGAACCTCAGCTTTAATCGGATATCTTGTATGTGCAGCTACGATAAGTAATAAGGGTACTTTTATCTTGAGTTCTGTGCCAAAGTGCGTTAGCATTTTTCGCTCAGGGGTCATTTAGATGCTTCTTATGAGACTTGTGTTTTGTTTTGGTAAAAATGGTTTGTATCGTCAGTTAGCTGAGATTATTTCCGTTAATCTGGTATAACACATTAATAGGTTCTTAAATATTAAGATCCCCTGAGACACTGTCGTCGGAAAAAAAAGTTAAGTACCCACCAGGACTTTGGGGTTTAACAGGTTAAAAAAACCGCAATAGATACCGCAGGGAGGGAAAAAAATCGCGATGTCAGTTTTTTTCAATACCGTGCAGCCCTACTGCAGAGCTCGCGTCATTCCTCTGTCCCAGATATGCCTCCTACACACGGTCATAATAAATCCACGAGCACCGTTATAACGCCTCGTGTGGACAGCATACACACACCTCTCATCCTCTGGGCGTGTATGCGCCTCATGATGAGAGACGGAGTGAAATGCAGCGTGTGGAAACTCCCTCGCAGCCCTTTCGCCTCAAGAAGCGCGAGCAGCGAGGGCGTGGCTCATCACCATGACGACCATTACAGCATATCTCAGAGAAGCCTCTCCACCCGCAGTTCAATGGGATACAGGAAACACTCCTGTCCTCCCAGAAGCTATGTCTTGCGCTCCAATCCGAGCTGCTGGAACTCCTGTTGAAAGAGGATATTTGCAGGGTTCCTCAAAGGGAGGAAAATCAGGGGTTTTCACTCCCGTTATTTTTCTACTCCCGAAAAAGACTGGGGCAATGAGACATCCTCGATCTGTCGGTATTCCACATGCTGACGATCAAACAGGTGCTGGAATGTGTTCACCAGGACGACTGGTTCACTTCCTCCTGAAGGATGCATACTTCCACGTACCCATCACCCGAAACACAGGAAATTCCTGCGTTTTCTCATTTCAGGGAATATCAGACCAGACAATCGTCTGCCGTTCGTATATTTCCTGGCTCCTCCCATTTTTGTGTAGAGAAGGCTGGAGCCACTACACAGAGGAGGGATGAGAGTGTGGTTTTCTCTGGACGACCTGCTATTGGCTGGCTCGCTCCAGGGAGGAAGTCGCTTTACAGACGGTACATCTTGTATCGCATCTGTCAAAGCCTGGGTTTCATAATAAATTGGAAGAAGAGCTGTCCTCTTCCCTCTCAGCCAAACGTTTATCTGGGAGTGGAATTAAACTCAGCCAGCAGAGCGCGGCTCTCGCGGCAGCGAGTGGAGAAACTGACAGCTCTCCTCCAGCATGTCACAACCCACACAGCCCTCTCCGTGACGCAGCTGCTCCGCGTTGGCGTCAGCTTGTCACATCATGATCCCCCTGGGTCTCTTCCAACAGGGGGACACTCCAGAGGTGGTTCATTCGCTGCAGAAGCCTGCTGTTTTAACCTATTGGTTAATAAACTGCAGAGCTTGCGGCATTCCTCTGTCCCAGATATGCCTCCTACACACGGTCATAATAAATCGAGCACCGTTATAACGCCTCGTGTGGACAGCATACACACACCTCTCATCCTCTGGGCGTGTATGCGCCTCATGATGAGAGACGGAGTGAAATGCAGCATGTGGAGACTCCCTCGCAGCCCTTTTGCCTCACGGGCAGCGGCGGCGATGGCGTGGCTCGTCACCATGACGACCATTACGGCACATCACAGAGAAGCCTCTCCCCCCAGCAGTTCCATGGGATACAAGAAACACTCCCGTTATCCCAGGAACAGTGTCTGGCGCGGTTTACTCCCGCTATTTTTCTAAATCTCGGAGAAGAACGGGGGAGTCGCCCCGTTGCTGTACAATCAAACAGGTGTTGATTTGCACAGACAACAGGCCACGGCTATGGAAGCAGCCTACCTCAATCGCCAGGGAGGAGTACGATCTGCACAGCTTCTGAACGCAGCCAGGCGGCTGCTGTTCTGGGCGCGCACACACGTTGCTCTCCATCAGAGCAATGTATATTCCCGGCGAATTGAACCGAGGGGCTCGCAGAGCGTAGCAGCAGTTGTATGCGAGGAGTATGGAGACTCAGACCTGTGTCACGCACACTGGCGCCTCAGTGGGATTTGGCTTTGGTGTTACGCGCACTGAAGCAAAGCCCCATTTGAACCTGATCAGGTTCCCCTTAAACTGTTATCAGCCAAAGTAGTACTGCTTTTGGCTCTATCAGAGAAAAGGGTGAGTGATTTGTCTGCTCTCTCTGTGACTCCGTCAGCTCTCCGGATCCAAGGAGATGACAGTTCAGCTGTTTTACGCCCTAACCCGGCTTCATGCCTAAGGTCATCACAACTCTTTTAGGTCAAGAGTGATCACCCTGGCTGGCTTATTCCCCCCTCCTTACAGGTTGGAGGAAGAAGCCTCGTCTCATCTCCTCTGTCCTGTGCACTCGCTGTCCTGCTTGTGGCGCGCACGGCGGCCTGGCGCCGTTCTCAGCGCCTGTTTGTGCACTATAGAGAGCGCTCGATTGGGCAACCTCTGTCTGCACAACGGCTGTCACACATTACATTACATTTAGCTGACGCTTTTATCCAAAGCGACTTACAATAAGTACATTCGACCAGGAAGACACAACCTTGAAGAAAACAGAATCATAAAGTACATCAGGTTTCATAGAGCCAAACATTTCAAGTGCTACTCAACTGGCTTTAGATAACACTGGCTGTGTGAGGCTGTGTCACAGGTGTAAGGGAATCTTCTGTGTAGCAATGCAGTGGGAGTCACCGACTCAGGAAAGAGACACGGGAAGAGCAGGAGCTTTGATGTCAAACACTGATGATTTATTTGGAGCTTCGGCCGGAGGATTCACATCACAAGTCACAGCAGTCACGGTGAGACTGCACGGTAGAGTTGCCACGTCAATTCTGGAGCGCCTCTCTCTCGTTAGCCCATTTAACTGGTTTCACAGAGAGTAATCAACATATTTTGATAAGATAGCTTTAGACAGTTGGGCACACTGAGTTACTTGCGTCCGTCACTTATGGCCTCGAAGATTTCATATCTTGGAGTCCACAAACAACAAACAAGGAAGTGTCCCAGTATACCCACAACAATAGCCCATCTGTGACCTAGTGTTACCCGGTCACAGAATGGGAACAATAACATTATGGCTGAAGCAGCCTATCTCCTTAAAGGAGATAACAGACGTCAGGGTTGGTCATGTACGTCATATCTAGGAGTCTAGGACAATTATTTCCCTAACAACAGGCATATGTCTCCTCTGGGGTGGAGCCCCCAGAGAACATCAATGCGCACTCCACCAGAGGAATTTCCTCCTCCAAGGCTTTGCACGGAGGAATGTCAGTGGAAGATATTTGCACTGCTGCATCTTGGTCTTCCCCCTGTTCATTTATTCATTTTTATTTGAGGGATGTCTCCCACTCCTCTCTGACACACCCTGTACTGAGTGTCCTGTCGGAGTGAGTGACGTCAGGGAGCCAGCTGTGCGCCTCTCTCCTGCCTCTCGGCACGCGGAGAGCGGCCCTTTTTCCCTCTTATAGGAGGGATGTTCCCTTTCCTCTCTGACACACTTTGTAGGGAGTGCCTGGTCAGAGTGAGCGACGTCAGGGATCCAGCTGGGCGCTCTCCTACCTGGCTGACACGGAGAGAGCTGCTGTTCCCCCTCTATGATCGCTGGGCAAGGTGGGACCTTCGTCTCTACTTTCTCACAGCGGCCGGTATGTATTGTTCCCAGCCTTCACCCCGTCGGGAAGATAGGCATGTTTTGCTATGTTCCAGGGACGGTGATGCGCCATTACGCATGGCACAACAGGCAGGGGGTGTTATTGAGCAGGTGTGTCTGTGCTTCTAGTGCCGGGCGGACCCAGTGGGGCGCAGACTACATCATGCTTCGCCTTTAACCCAATAGCGATAGCCTTAGAGGGCGAAGTTACCTACTGTAACCCCAGCTTCTATGAGTAAATGGCGCAGCCCTCTAAGTGCGGGGCCCACTGGCTCTACGAATAGCTGAAGAAAAGTTATTTTGTATGGGAGCAGATTGTCGGGCCTCCTTCCTATTTATACCGGAAGGAGGCCCGAGGGTGGGGAACACCTAGCGGGTGGGCGTGGACTACAAGTTTTCAGTGCTGCGCGGGGGCGCAGGGGGATAACCCAATAGCGATAGCCTTAGAGGGCCATTTACTCATAGAAGCTGGGGTTACAGCAGGTAACCTCAGTTCTCCAGAGATTTCATATATCTTATAAACAAGATCAGAGACACAATACTCATACTACATCTTTCTAGAAACACCCTGCAGTTGCTGAAGATGTTTCTTCATGTGTTTTGGAAAATCTGTGTTTTCATATCTGCATCGTTAAACATCTACCGTAGGGATATTTAAAGTTGCACGCATGAAGGACAGAACCTACCAAAATAAAACATATAGTGTGTATATATATATATATATATTAGGGCTGTCAAGTTAACGCGTTCATGCAATTTTTTAACGCCACTAATTATTTTAACGTGCGATTAACGTATTTGTCCTCGGCCCGCCCCGTAGTTTCAGAGCCCAAAGGCTTGACGTTGTTGTTGGTTGGATGGTGGGAGATTCTAGCGAGAGATATGGATACAAAAAAATATGTTTTAAACAGCGAGCCAAGCACACACAGGGCTCGACAGTAACGGTTTCCAGGTTGCCATTGGCAACCATTCAGAAAAAAATGTCAACCACTTCTTGGCCTTTGGTTGCCATCAGTGGCAACCAGTTTTTAACATAAAGAAATAAGGACAGCAAACAGCTAATTGTGCACCCCAAAATAGATAAATGTTAATTATTTGTTGTATTAAGAGTGATATTTAATTATTGTTGTGACCAGTCGGAACCTGATACTTAAGTTGCACGCGCATTGGCGTGATTACGGGGCCAGAAAGCGATGCACATTTACTCTCGTGCGCGATGCGCCGTGTGTTTGTTTTGCAAAAAATGGCGAAGCAAATTAAGTTGTTTGACTGTGGGGTAAAAAGTTCGGCCAACCCGTCAACATCTCAAACGAAGTGATTCAACTGATAAAGCGTAAGGTAAACCCGAACGAAAAGCAAAGAGGAAATGTGTAAAGTCTTGGGAGGCCAAATATATATGTACATTCTGCTACGTTGTCTATTCACTTCCGGTAAAAGTTCCTTCAAAATAAGAGTCCCGATCTTATTACTACCAAAATAAAAGTGCTAAACGAAACTTTACCATAGGAAAATATTGGCATACAAATATAATCACTTCTATAAAAAGGTAACACATTTTAAATATAGTTAGACATATCAAAGGTAATTTACAGCATTAATAATTCATATATAATTGCACTATTTTATCTATTTGATCAGTTCTATGTCCTATATATATATTCATGTTGCTCTGTTGGAGGAGGACTTCAGGTTCTCATCTCCATATCTCCTCTGTAGCTGCTACACGATGATAGAGCTTTGAAACGTTTAGTCTCGTGAACATCCATTAGAGAGTGCACTGAACCGACCTGTCCTCTGGATCTGAGAATGTAAAACAGCGTCCAGTAGTTTCCGGTCTCTCTCGTGTTCCTCTTTTGATCGAGACAGTTTCTCCTCGTACTCTGATATCGTTCTTTCAAACAGAGCAAAGATCTCTTCAGCAGCTGCAGAGAGTCTCTGCTTCACCAACGAGAGCAGCACAACACTCATGTTTATACACACACACACACTGTTCACAGCAGCTTTTCTTGCACACACACTCTGTCACACACACTAGCTGTTCCTGCACACTCGATCAAACTCTCACACAGTTGCTAACGTGTTTCCAGCTAGCATGCTAAGCTAACTTCGGTATTCGGTAAGGTAGAAGCTCCAGATGAAGCCGAACAGATCAGAGTAAACTCGGAGAGTTCATCCGGACACACCGAGGCTCTGGAGGATCAGAACTGCGGGAGAAAACACACTCTTTATCGGGAGAACAAAGAGAGAAAACTGTCGCGACGAGACTCAATGTTGCTATCAGTTAGCGAGAGAGGTCACTTCCGGGTTGAGCATTTCAGAATAAAAGCAGGAAGAAAAAACAACACCAAAATGATATGGCCTTTTAACTGCAAACCAAGGCGGTAGGTTTCCATTTGTGTAAATATGATGACGTGTGAAGTGATTTAAGCCTTTCTCTGTCCTCCTGACTCTCTGAGGATCTGTGTCTTAGCTTCTCATTTACTATCAAAGTGTCTTAAAAAAGTGATGAGTCTGAATATCTGCTTTGATTATAAACCTGAAACTCTACTTTAAAGAGTCCTCTTCTGCTGATGTTCAGGTGTATATCAGTATGTAGTGTCTCTACTTTAAAGAGTCCTCTCCTGCTGATGTTCAGGTGTATATCAGTATGTAGTGTCTCTACTTTAAAGAGTCCTCTCCTGCTGATGTTCAGGTGTATATCAGTATGTAGTGTCTCTACTTTAAAGAGTCCTCTCCTGCTGATGTTCAGGTGTATTATCAGTATGTAGTGTCTCTACTTTAAAGAGTCCTCTCCTGCTGATGTTCAGGTGTATATCAGTATGTAGTGTCTCTACTTTAAAGAGTCCTCTCCTGCTGATGTTCAGGTGTATATCAGTATGTAGTGTCTCTACTTTAAAGAGTCCTCTCCTGCTGATGTTCAGGTGTATATCAGTATGTAGTGTCTCTACTTTAAAGAGTCCTCTCCTGCTGATGTTCAGGTGTATATCAGTATGTAGTGTCTCTACTTTAAAGAGTCCTCTCCTGCTGATGTTCAGGGGTATTATCAGTATGTAGTGTCTCTACTTTAAAGAGTCCTCTCCTGCTGATGTTCAGGTGTATATCAGTATGTAGTGTCTCTACTTTAAAGAGTCCTCTCCTGCTGATGTTCAGGTGTATATCAGTATGTAGTGTCTCTACTTTAAAGAGTCCTCTCCTGCTGATGTTCAGGTGTATATCAGTATGCCAGCTGTCTCTACTTTAAAGAGTCCCTCTCCTGCTGATGTTCAGGTGTATATCAGTATGTAGTGTCTCGACTTTAAAGAGTCCTCTCCGCTGATGTTCAGGTGATATCAGTGTTTAGTGTCTCTACTTTAAAGAGGTCCTCTTCTGGCTGATGTTCAGGTGTATATCAGTGTGTAGGTCTCTACTTAAAGAGTTCTCTCCTGCTGATGTTCAGGTGTATATCAGTATGTAGTGTCTCTACTTTAAAGAGTCCTCTCCTGCTGATGTTCAGGTTTGTATATCAGATGTAGTGTCTCTACTTTAAAGAGTTCTCTCCTGCTGATGTTCAGGTGTATATCAGTATGTAGTGTCTCTACTTAAAGAGTCCTCTCCTGCTGATGTTCAGTGTATATCAGTATGCAGTGTCTCTACTTTAAAGAGTCCTCTCCTGCTGATGTTCAGGTGTATATCAGTGTTTAGTTGGTCTCTACTTTAAAGAGTCCTCTCCTGCTGATGTTCAGGTGTAATCCAGTATGTAGTGTCTCTACTTTAAAGAGTCTCTCCTGCTGATGTTCAGGTGTATATCAGTATGTAGTGTCTCTACATTTAAAGGAGTCCTCTCCTGCTGATGTTCAGGTGTATATCAGTATGTAGTGTCTCTACTTTAAAGAGTCCTCTCCTGCTGATGTTCAGGTGTATATCAGTATGTAGTGTCTCTACTTTAAAGAGTCCTCTCCTGCTGATGTTCAGGTGTATATCAGTGTTTAGTGTCTCTACTTTAAGAGTCTCCTCTTCTGCTGATGTTCAGGTGTATATCAGTGTGTAGTGTCTCTACTTTAAAGAGTTCTCTCCTGCTGATGTTCAGGTGTATATCAGTATGTAGTGTCTCTACTTTAAAGCGTCCTCTCCTGCTGATGTTCAGGTGTATATCAGTATGTAGTGTCTCTACTTTAAAGAGTCCTCTCCTGCTGATGTTCAGGTGTATATCAGTATGTAGTGTCTCTACTTTAAAGAGTCCTCTCCTGCTGATGTTCAGGTGTATATTCAGTATGTAGTGTACTCTACTTTAAAGAGTCTCTCCTGCTGATGTCAGGTGTATATCAGTATGTAGTGTCTCTACTTTAAACTGAGTCCTCTCCTGCTGATGTTCAGGTGTATTCAGTATGTAGTGTCTCTACTTTAAAGAGTCCTCTCCTGCTGACTGTTCAGGTGTATATCAGTGTTAGTGTCTCTACTTTAAAGAGTCCCTCTCTGCTGATGTTCAGGTGTATATCAGTTGCATGTAGTGTCTCTACTTTAAAGAGTCCTCTCCTGCTGATGTTCAGGTGTATATCAGTATGTAGTGTCTCTACTTTAAAGAGTCCTCTCCTGCTGATGTTCAGGTGTATATCAGTAGTTAGTGTCTCTACTTTAAAGAGTTCCTCTTCCTGCTGATGTTCAGGTGTATATCAGTGTGTAGTGTCTCTACTTTAAAGAGTTCTCTCCTGCTGATGTTCAGGTGTATATCAGTATGTAGTGTCTCTACTTTAAAGAGTCCTCTCCTGCTGATGTTCAGGTGTATATCAGTATGTAGTGTCTCTACTTTAAAGAGTCCTCTCCTGCTGATGTTCAGGTGTATATCAGTATGTAGTGTCTCTACTTTAAAGAGTCCTCTCCTGCTGATGTTCAGGTGTATATCAGTATAGTGTCTCAACACTGATGCAAAGGCTGCCACCAGTATGGTGGGCGATGGCAGCTCTATGCCCCTACTGGTCATTATTTTTTTGCCACACACATTAAATAGGAAAATACTCTGAGCATGCGCAGTGTAGTTTTTACAGTCACCGTTCACTTAGACAGTGAGAGGGAGGGGCAGGATCGGGTTTTGTCCCACATGGCTCTAAACAGCTCAATAGGCACACACTGTAGACACTAATTAGAAGAACACAGACCGAAACAGCAATGTACAGACGAATCAGATGATTAAACATGATCTTAAAATATATTTTATATATATTTTTAGCATTATGTTGTAATAATTATTTGTAATACTTTCTGCTGACACTAGGTGGGGCTGTGCCCTAATGACCAGTCGCCACTGGCTATAATCTATTACAATTATAATATCACTAGTGCGTCATTTAACATCCAACCCAGTCTCACGGCATTTCGTGTTATCGTCACTACATTTAATCCATTGATTCGTGTTCACGATTTCCCCCTTTTTTCCTTTAAATGGTCTTTTAGTCTTTATTATTTACCTACTTTTATATTGTTTTATTTATTTTAAAGGGTTTTCTCTTACATTATTTATTTAAGTTGTAATAGCAACATTTCCTTTTACGTTGGTTTTAACCTTTATTAGAATGATGACGTTTTTATTACTATTATCTTTTTGTTTGTGTTGTACCTATAAGTTTACTTTATTTGATAGGGTTCCATATTGTTGCTTCGCTTCACTTAGTCTTGAGTCTTATTTATTATTTATTTTATGTGTATTATCTCACCTTTGACCTCCTCGTGTCTCTTAACATTTGATATGTTCCTGCATGTTTCTGTGAAGTTCTTAACATCTGATCTGAGGGGAACTTCTTGTGTATTTTTAACTGGTGATGTGTCATTTTGTAAATGTGCCGTATAAATAATAATAATAATCATTATTATATCATAGTAGAAGATGTCTCAAGCGTCTTTAACTGATAAACCTCAGGTCTAAAATATACATGCAACACTTTCTGACACTTTAAAAAAAGAAAATTCAGAACATTTCTTCAAAACATTTCTAAAAATAAAAATCAGAAAAATTCAAAAAAAAATACAGAGCATTTAAAAAAATTAATTAAATACAATTCTATATTTCTTTCAGAACATTTAAAAAAAAAATCGGAACATTTCTACATTTTTTTCCAGAACAATCTACATTTTTTTCAGAACCTTTCTAAATGTTTTTCTGAAAAATTCTTCATTTATTTCAGAGAAATTATTAAAAAAATAATGAACATTTCTACATTATCCAGAACCTTGGTGTGTCCGGATGAACTCGGATGAAAAATTCTACATTTTTTTCAGAAAACATTCTCTAAATAATAATGATCACTCCACCAAACACAGATTCAAACTAAAGTAACCAGCCTGTTTGGAAAGTGTAAGAAGTAGAAAGTACAGGTACAAATACCTGTACTTTCTACTTCTCATATGTTGAACACAGTTCAACATATGAGAAGTAGAAAGTAAAGGTATTTGTGTTAAACATGTAAGAAGTAGAAAGTACAGGTATTTGTGTTCAACATGTAAGAAGTAGAAAGTACAGGTATTTGTGTTCAACATGTAAGAAGTAGAAAGTACAGGTATTTGAGTTCAACATGTAAGAAGTAGAAAGTACAGGTATTTGAGGTCAACATGTAAAGAAGTAGAAGTACAGGTATTGAGTTCAACATGTAAAGTAGAAAGTAACAGGTTATTTGGTTCAACCATGCTAGAAAGTACAGTATTGTGTAAACATGTAAGAAGTAGAAGTACAGGTATTTGAGTTCAACATGTGAGGAAGTAGAAAGTTCAGGTATTTGAGTTCAACATGTAAGAAGTAGAAAGTACAGGTATTTGAGTTCAACATGTGAGAAGTAGAAAAGTTCAGGTATTTGAGTTTCACATGTAGAAGTTAGAAAGTACAGGTAGTTGAGTTCAACATGTAAGAAGTAGAAAAGTACAGGTATTTGAGTTCAACATGTAAGAAGTAGAAGTACAGGTATTTGAGTTCAACATGTGAGAAAGTAGAAAGTACAGGTATTTGTGTTCAACATGTGAGAAGTAGAAAGTTCAGGTATTTGTGTTCAACATGTAAGAAGTAAAAGTAAAGGTATTTGGTGTTCAACATGTGAGAAGTAGAAGTTCAGGTATTTGTGTTCAACATGTAAGCAGTAGAAAAGTACAGGTATTTGAGTTCAACATGTGAGAAGTAGAAAAGTTCAGGTATTGAGTTCAACATGTAAGAAGTAAAAGTACAGGTATTTGAGTTCAACATGTGAGAAGTAGAAAGTACAGGTATTTGTGTTCAACATGTGAGAAGTAGAAAGTTCAGGTATTTGTGTTCAACATGTAAGAAGTAGAAAGTAAAGGTATTTGTGTTCAACATGTGAGAAGTAGAAAGTTCAGGTAT